ACGGACATGGGATCCGCAAGGCACGAGCAGGGCTCGTTTTACGCCGCTGACGCAGCTCGCCTTCCTCGTCATCTCATGCGGGAAAATGAGTGTCATACTCGTAGTCGACCACCTCCACATCCTCAACGAGGCCACTCGTCACTGATAGCGTGCGCAAAGCGCGACGCTCGTGCTCATCGAGCCTAGGATGTACACCTCCCGGTGCCGCGGACGCACTGTCCGACATCGCACCGCGTGCGGGAGATGAAGTTGAGCTCTGCCCGTGCTTGCTGTCAGAACCAGCGAGACTTGATGACTTCAGTGTCGTTGACACAGGGCTCATTGAGCAAGGAAGTCATTTCATTCCAGCAAAATATGGTGCAGTGTCTAGCAGACACGCGAGCCTCGTTGAGGCAATAATCGATTGGAACTGTAAATGTTCTCAATCTTAATGGGGGAGGATGTAACAGGGTTACACGTATTTGAGGGGTGTGTGTCACACGAGATGTGCTTGGTGTGACAACGCCCAAACAAGAATACGATGCGGGCCTAGGTAGCCAGTAGTTATGCATGTATTTAGATTTTACCATATATATTTAGTCTATTTAGGAAAATCTAAACTATTAAATAAGGCGGCTTTGCCGTAGATGAAAATAAAATAAAATCAGTTTTGGATTTTAAACGGAAGAGCTAATTAGCCTTGGGAAAGGCAATAGTTACTCTTGAGTAAGTGAATTGCGATCCGCTAACTCGTACTTGTTCTAAGTATAGAACGAAAGGACGGTGACCTAAATTACGCTTTCTCAAGCGCTAAACTACGGCAGCATCGGTATGCCTCATCGCCGAGATATGTCGTGAAGAAGGCTTCCATCGCAAAGAAGCTTCTAGGAGCATGAGCTATAGATTGCAAGAAATACAGTGAATTTCTAGCGCAGTGAGTACTCGTTGAGCGTTCGCATTGCGAATGTCTAAATAAGGCAGAGAAGTGCACGCCCCAGCGTGGTTCCCAGGTTAGTGGCGAGGGTGTAACGTCGTATATATTCGTACACTTTATAAATCCGTACGAAATTCGCACCATTTACTTGCAAAGTCGTGGTACCAGAGCATCGATACTAGTGAAGATGATAACATTACGTCAGGAAAAATAATAAAGGAAATGGAAAGATCGAGCTGTTAGCCTTACATTGAGCGATATTGCTTGTCTGGTACTAGATGAGTCAAACGTCATTGATTTTGGTAAATTTAATAAAAAACATGTCACTTAGAAATAACAAAGCAAATTAAGTACTTTCTTACTTTAAAAGCTCTCGGTTCCGCTCCTGGGTGAAGCTTACGAATGCAATCTCTGTACACTAGATACGCGAACATTTGGCGGAGGTCCATCGTTTCATCAATTCCAGTATGTTGGCACTTTTGAGCGTCGTTAGATTGCCTGAAGAAATATAGAAGATTGTATAGATTCCCAGCGAACAGCTGTTCACCATCTATTAAAGATTAGTTTAATTTGAGACAAAATAAATAAAAAACTGGCTTTAAGTCTAATTCTAAAAATGTCTATCAGCTTACTTTGATCCAATAAGACGTAAATGCAAACAAGAGTTCAGCAAGATTCAGCATAATAATTCAAAATTGTTCATTTGAAAAAAAATCAATGCCTGTTAAGCCGTCAATCAACGGCACTTCACCTACATCTCTTGGTCACTTTAGCTAACAGCCGCCACGATTGCAATAACGGCCGCAATAATCATTAAAGCGAATAGACCAGTACAAATAAGTTTAGATTTTGAACACTTGCACAAACCCCGCTTTTCGTTGGCTTCTCGTACATTGCGCAGTGCGCCCTGTGCATTTTCCTGAGCTGTCTCGGTATTATCCTCAATATCGACTACATAAATTGTACAGTGATATAAGTATCTACGCCAGGATAAGCTAGAACAATATGTAAAGCGTACCCACTAACTCGCCCTGGTCCTGTACCAGTCCATCCACCTCTCGGTACGCTGCATTGACCTCATGCAGTTGCTGGTTAATTTTGAGAATATCTTCTTCTCTTCGGATCAAATCTGCAATCATAAAGTTAAATTATGAACCTTTAAATTCTAAAAAAAATCTATAACCCACTTACCATCTTCATTATATCTCGTCACATTGGCTTGTGCATAGATCTGATCCTCGTTGTATCCGTCAAAACCTTCAAGTTTTGTATCATCATCTGAGCGGAAAGAAAGCGATGACTTCCGAAGGTTAGAGACCGCTGCTCTCTCAGCCGCCAGCAACTTCTGACACGTCTCCTCAAAACTCTTAAGTTGATTCTTATAGTCCAAAGACAATTTTGCCACTTGAGTCTTCCGTGCACGACCACCAGCAGCCTTCGCACCTTTATCTAGCTCTTGTAATTTACGATTAATTCTTGCCACAAGCTTATTACCACGATCCGTGAGTTCAGTGAGCTGTTGGTGATTCGCTCGTGAGTCTTGCGGCGTGCCAAATAGCAACATCTTCTGGGCAATGGTGCGTGTGACTTGATTAAACTGACGCACATCCTTGGACGTCTCTTCCACTACATCATTATAATGCTCATTTTCACCCATCTTTGGCGAATTAACTGCCATGTAGCTCATAGCACGATAGGAAGCTATTTCAAGTGTGTTATGTAACCTTCCTATATTTTGTTTCGAAAAATTTGGTAGGGATAGGCTCTTAAGAAAAATTTAGTTGATTTTGTAACATAGCACAAACGGGTTGTTTTTATTTCTAATTGATTACGCTACATCCAATTGACAAACAGAATATTCTTTTTTATTCAAATTATTGTGAGTACGACAAATTTCCTATTAGTCGCTAACTGAAATTTTACATAAATTCGACTAGTCTGAATCCATCGTGGACAATACTAGTCGTACGCTCGAAATTGACCCACCAAGCTCATCAAAAACGACTAATAAATTCTCTCGATCTTTCAACAGCCAGTCTTGTGGAATATGGTAGTAACGCTGAACAAAGTTACCTTCATCGTTAATTAGCCAGTAACGTCCTAGGTCGTAACCATTGATGTATGCACGTCCACGTGTAAGTCCAATAAAATCAAACAAAATGGACTTCTGCATTTCGTAGTTCGTTGGCTGCTGCGTACGATAGATGAAGGAAGTTGCATACCAGCACAGCATTCGTCGGCCACCCGAAACATTTGGTTGATATGTCGAATTGTTTTCATGCACTGGAGTCCACTGAACCGAATGAAACCATTCTGGACGGTAAATCTCGAGTTGTTCACCCACAAGACTCGGATACATTTCCCACTGCTGGTCTTTCGTCAGATCCTTCTCACCAAATCGAACACTGCCAGTCACACCTTTACTGTGATTACTTCCCAAAGAGTAGATGCCCAAACTAACAGATACAAGCATAAGGTCATGCTGACGAGTCAAGTTGAGATTGGCTGGCAAATGAAAGCCAAATTCCTTGGAACAATTGCCACCAGGATACGCTAAACTTCTTTCACCAATCAGCCACCCATCAAGGAATGCAATGATGCTACCGGCCTCGCATGTCTCTACCTCCACCATCGATGCCTTGTTATTGATGTCACTTGATTGCTGAAGAAAGACTGTTGTCTTATACGTCAAATAGTCCGATTGGTCAGCTGTTAATTGAAGCTGTTCAACAGGGTGATCGGCAATCACTCGTTTCCTTGGTGTCGTCAAAGACACGTTTAATTCACTCCAATACGTCCACTTGAAGCTAGAAGCTTTAATTAAAGTTGAGTACGTACGATGCTGAAGACCTGGATATGAATGATGGACATCTGCAGTATCGAAAAGGATGACTCCGTCTTTTAGAATTATCATAGAGGATGCCGCAAGCGCAATTTTCTTGCTGCCAAAGGATACGTTAACACTCCGGTTGGCCATGTTTTCCAAGAAAGCGACTTGATTTGGTCCATCTTTTGGTCCATAGATGAAAGCTCGTTGTTGCGATGAAGCATTCACAATTTGTCCAGTTGAAAGCGGTAAATCGTGAGGGTTCAATACTTGTCGTTCGTTGCTTAACAATATTTCATTGCACTCTATCAGTGCTTCATGAAGCTTTCGCAAGTGGGTACGTTTCGGCTCGTTACTCAGACCGTCAAAGTGTAAATTTACTCCGTCGGCATACTTCGTCGTCACTCCAGCAGATGCAGCTCGACCGTAATTATTACCGCCGTAATACATCTAGCAGGGTCAAATAAAGTATCAGTTGAGAAGTTCTCACTTAGATAGCTGCGAAACCTACGTAATAATTATGGACAGCGCCACCAACAGCAAACCACCGAGCGACAGCATACGCCACGTCTTCAGGTGAACGTTGATCATTTGGCAGTGGCCTCTCTTTATCTTTTTGCCATGTTTGAAACCAGCCTTCATCCTCTGTCCATACGAGGGGATCAGATGGTCGATTCTTCACATTATTCACAGCAAACTCAACGCAATCGTTGTCATTGCATGAAAGAATCGTATTTTCAGCTGCGTTAGCGTGACACCTGCTCAACAATAGAAACCTTAGAATTATTCGCTCAAAATTTATAGCTTCGAGTCCAACACTTACATGATCCACGGAATTGATGTATCGAGACGTTTCACTAACTGTCCACACCATTCTACGTATTGTGGGTCATGCCCCGAAAACTCGTTCTCAATCTGTGCCATAATAATCGGTCCACCATTTATTGCTAAAAACGGCCTCGACAACGTCACCATGTACCGAAGAAATCGCTCCATTTCCATCTCCCATGGACCATTTGACGACCTCACCTTCATTCCAGGTATCCAATTAAGCCACACAGGGAGACCACCATTGCTCCATTCAGCACATACGTACGGACCAAACCGCACATGCAGGAATAATCCCACCTTTGCTGCTAATTCGTAGAACCTCGTGATATTAGCATTTCCCTCAAAATTATATACTCCACGCTCTCGTTCGTGCAGGTTCCAAAACACATCTACAAAGGACAAATGTAAATGCACTGATTCAACATGTTTCTCATTGACGTACACATCTCAATGTGATTAAGTCCGTCTCTTTTAGCCTCACGCAATAGCTGCTCCCATTGACCTGGCGAGCTGCGTGGATAGTGAATAGAACCACCGAGCAATATCGTCTGTTTGCCATCAATTTCAAAGCCTCGAGATGAATATGTGACGTTGTAGCCTGATTGGCGCTTGACTGCATCAATATCATCGTACGTAAGATACTGAAACATCCTACGGGGTGGTGGTTTGTGCCATAGTGGATTGGACACACGCTGTGCCGGTAATCGAACGCCAACAAAGCAGGCAACAAACGAGATTACGACTAGAAGAGCAACATCCATGCGCTGCAAACGACGCCTTGGCCTGGGAGTGTCTACAGGTAGAAGCGCTTCGTGGTCGAGACTCTCGTCATTAGAAAACATCTCTGCTATCAAGTTTTTAGATGCGAAAGATTTGGGATTTGTGTTTGAAAGGTACACTAAAGCAGTCGTATACTTATGCTTTATATGTCGAAGTAGCGTTGCGCCAATGGTAGTAAGAAAGCTTTGTGATGGTTTAAGAAGAGACTTTACGGTCGTGGCGATCAGACAAAAGTAGCTTTAGTACTTTAAAGACGTGACGAAGTCGACTGTCTCTTTGTGCGTGACGTTGATGATACGCAATAAGCTGATTGTTTAACCACTGATCTGTGCATACACTTTCCCAATGATTAAACCAGATAACGAGTTCTCGACGTCGACGCTTATGTGCCATATGATGCATTTGTGTAAGAATATAACTTTGGGTGATGACAAGTTGATGCCATTGTTGGAGACCTTGGCGACGTTGCGAGAGCAAAGTTTTGTGCCGTAATGCCCGGAACTTTATTCGGAAATCAGTCAATAAATTCCACTGATACAAGATACGTTTGACGACGCTGAGATAGTAGCGATGAGAAATTGAACTGATCTTCTCCTTCTGTTGCTGTCTATAGTAGATGTGTGCTTGGAATGTCCTTAAGTATCGACGCATGAGGTACGATCGAGTAAATGTGTCAGCTCTGAAACATTTGAATTTATAATCTTGAGCAACGTGAAACCATTGAACGAGACTTCTCCAATACTTTTGCTGGTGTTGATGTTTCCAATGGATACAGGCTTTTGTATGTAAATTTCTCTTTCGATTGACTTCCATACACAACGCTCGCAGATTCGAAATCACGTGACGTTTGTGTCTCTCACTCAACCAGGTCACCAACTTATTGTGAAGATGTTTCAACGTTCTTTCAACTTGTTTCCACAGTACAAGACTCTGAAAACTTTGACACAAGAGCGAATTTCGCCACTGAAGTAAGGCTTGGTCCATCAAAATCCTTTTACGATGCCACCTTGTAGCTCTCATCTTCCAAACTACGACAATGTCACTAGTGAGAAAGCGCTTATAAAACTCTGCAGCGAGTTTTACAGCTAGTTGCTTCTGTCGTTTATCATGGACCAATTGTCTCCAACTTAACCAGACTCTAAGCACGCAGTGGTTAATTTTAAACCGCAATACTCGAATCAGTTTTTCATGCATCTGCCTCGTAGTCGCTACGAACTGCATCCAAGCCTCAAAATGAGCTCGTAATTGGTTTGCTCTTTGGTTTTGAGACATCTGCTTCATTTGCTGAAGCACTCGGATTTGTGATTTCCAAATGGAAAACCTTTTGTCAAGTATCTTTGCTGTATTGAACGCTAGTGCTGCTTTCGCTTTCCTTTCAATCTGGACAACGTATCTCCATGTCGTTAATACGCTTTGCTCTACAAAAACACAGCGAAACACTCGAGCTTGGAGTCGCTTCTTGTCGTATACCCGTCGTTGTTGCCAATACTTTTTCCATTGTAACATGAACCTTTTCCTTTGAACTCGTTCGTGCACACGTATGGATTGAGCGTATGCCAAGCGACTTTGAAAAAATTGCTGCCAGCACTGAAAGCACGATGCCATCACACGGCTATTTTGAATTTTCTTTGCCTGGTTCCGAGTACGGATTCGAGACGTTTTCCACGTCCACAATTGCTTCAATGCGTAAGCTAAACGTTGTCTTTTCAACAACAGTTGAACAGCTCTTTTCTCGTTCTGACGTTGTCGCTGTAAGCTGACAGCTTGTCTTCTCCACTTTCTGACACCGCGGGACAGCAAATGAAGTTGACATTGACGTAACAGCGCAGCTACGCGTGCCAAATTGCTCTGTTTGACCATAACGTATTTACTCCATTTATTAAACTTGTCAACTAGTAATCGCTGCGTGTTGAAAAAGATTGCTAGCATCTCATTCTCCTTTTGCGCTTGCTTCATCATTAGCAGCTTTTTCCATGCGCTATACGACCGCCGAAGTATGATCTTCCAATGATGATGAAGTACCCATTTCAGCTGAATTTGTTTCTCAAGACAGTTCTTAAAGTGATCTGATCGAGTATGTTTTTGTTGACAATTTGAGACTAAAGCTTTCCACTCCAAGAAAATAGCTCGATAGAGTTGATCACTTACACATTGACTCGATACGGAGACGTTCATTTTAATGAAATCGCAGTGCGATTTCCAGCCAAGCAATATTTTTCGAAGCAGCAATCTATTGTAAGCTCGAATATATAGAAATCTCTTGCTGCAATATCTCCTCCATTTTCGGAATGCAAGACACAACGCAGACATCGTTCTGAGCTGATTTGTTCTTATTCTCAATGTTTTGTGCAGTATGCTCATCTCAAAGTACCTCTTCCACCCCTTAAATGCTCGTGATAACAGAATCTGCTGCCATAACCGTTTGACGAGCTTTCGCTTAAGAACTATTTGATGTCGCATCGTCTGACTTCCCCAGCGTTTGAATTGCTTCAGCAGGACACTTTTAGTATGAAATTGAATTGCTTCTATCGTTTTCGTTTGAGCAATACGAAGTTCTAGGCAAACAGTTTGCCACTTTGACAACGCTTTCGTTAGACGATAAGCAATAATGTGCTGAGTAGCCATTAGTTTATTGTGATGGAAAACAGAGGTCTGGCACCACGCATCTTGCCAGCAATGCATGATCATACGCATCAGACATATATTGTAGAATCTTGCAGCTTTAGCCATTCGTAAGCGATATTGATGACGTTCAAAGCAAAGACTGGACCATTGAGTAACACCAGACTGTAAATGTCTCTGACGCATCATCTCTCGAAACGATAACCACTTCATCTTGAGCAGATTTGATTTCATCGTAAATGAGTACCACGCGTTGAGGGTTTTGCTTTGTAATACCTGAATAAACCTGGCTCCAGCAATACTTTTCTTCTCCACTGATAGTCGACGAATGTGGATAGATTCAAGCCACGCAAATAGCAAGCGACGTTTAATACTTGCGCTTTGAAACTTCAGGGCAGTCCAATTCTGTTGTCTACGTTGAATCAAACGCCTTGTAAGAGCATTCCAAGCGTCAAAATAATCAATAACTGTTTTCTCTATTTGGCGCTGCCGTCGAATAGCCAGAATTTCTTCTTGTCTACGACGATTTTTAATAGCTAAATGCCAGTTAAACATTGCTGTTGTCAGAATTTGCCGAAAGTAATACGAGAGTGCCTTGCATTCTGCTTTTCTAATATCTGAAGCTCTTCTTTTGAAGGTTGTCCACTTCATGATAGCAAGTGCATACCTACGCTCAAACCAATATTCTTCTGCCACAGCAAGAGTCATCCTCTTCTCTGCAAGTTCCCGACAAATTCGCTTCCACTTAACAAGCGATAAGCGAATCCGATCAAGATTTTGCTTTCGAATTGCTATCTCAATATGAATTTGAACGTGCCATAGTCGAATAAATAAATATTTACGCTGTCGGGTTTGCTTTTTCCGAAAAAGTTTGACAAGCCGTCTGAAACACCGTTTTCTTAAAGTCACTCCATGCCATTGATCGATTATGCTTCGTAAATGATCTCTACTGCTTCGAAGACGATTTTGCTCTACACTTACGCGCCAGAAAATCTTTTTCTTTCTCCAATTTTCCCAAGCATTGAAATGTATCGCAACGGCTAGATTTTGATGCCTACGTGCACAAGAAGATTCAAATAGGTGAATTTGTAGCCTTCTTATCCATTTCTTTATGTATTTTTTCGCTGTAGAATCTCGCCAATGCTTAGATACAATGCAACACTTTTCCCGCAGACTAATGTGAACTGTACTTTGCGTATTCCAATGTAAAAGTACACGTTTAAGCTTTCTTGCATAAACATCTCGATAAAATCTTTCCATGCTTGTCAATCTTCTTGTGTTCGTAACCCATACCTTAAAGCTTTTTGTAATAACTTTCTGGTGGTACTGCTTCCTCGCCATTGTCATTTGATCTCGTATTATGTGATTAGCATTAACAAAACATTGTAGTTTGTCGATACAGTCCATTACTAAGCACCGCTCATATAATTTTCGTATCCTATCGAAGATGTGATTGCAACGGCGCGTAATATTCGAATTCTGGTTCCATCCTCGAAATGCCCATTGCAAAATATATCGATACTGAAAATGATCCGCAAGCAATGCGTTGCGAAAATCCACTTGTTGCTCCGTCATATAGCGTTTCCACCTCCGAATTCCACTTGATAGACCAATATGTTTACCATGAGCAATGGATAAGTGATAGAAAAGATTGTCATATGTGTCTTTCCACCACATATGAAAAGATGAGTTTTTTAGATGCTTTGCATAATGCGATAAAGCAGAATCATTCTTCTGTCGTTCTTGCTTTGCTAGAAAACTTCCTTTTCGGAAAGACTCAAATAAGAGTTTGAGGTGACGACATGTCCACTTTGAAACAATACTTCGATACAATTGTGTCTGTCTTACACATTGACTCCAGCATTGGAATACATCGTGTTTTCGCCTTCGCCCGCGTATACTCTGCCTTTGAACAATAATGCGTTTGAGTCGACAGTAGCGTTTTAGTTGATACAATACATTAAGCTTGATGCGCTTACGATAAACTTTGTTAGCATCACTCAAAAGCTGTCTCCTGCATTGGCTAGAATCAAGGCTACAGCGCCATTTTCGCATAAAAGTCTTTCGAAGTTTTTCACGGTGATATTCACTCGCTCGATCAAAGTGGTGCTCGCGCCGCTTTCGACTTGTATCCGCGTTACTTTTCCATCGGCTAAAACACGAGTAAGCCAAGCGAAGTTCTAATCGAAGTAGACGACGCATTTCGATGGAATGAGTGCCTTTAAAAACACCAATAGACTTAAGCGAAGAGATCTTTTTGTTGTTACAATCCACGTTAGCAGCACTCATATGCTCCATTTTTTCAATAATTTCTTGGTTTTGAGCTTTCTCCACGTTTTTAGTTCTTAAAGTATCTGTATGTCGCTTCAGTAGAAGATTTCGTTGTGAAACACGATGATATGGAGAGTCATTTCTCATCAAATGTTTCTTCTTAGGACAATTCGTGATATTATAAAAATACAACTGTTCTGTGGATCGACGAAGAGAAGATACCATCCATTTCCACGCCAAGAAATGAGATTTAATCACATTTCTTCTCCAGTAAAAGAGTGCAATGAAATTCTGCTGGTCATCTTTATTCAATGTACTCAAAACCACTTCACTAGAGTCTTCGGATGACGGCGAAGAGTGACGTATATTTCTTCCATGTCTCTTGCGATTGGATTTTGATATCAGCTGAATGCAACGACATACAAACACATAATGTGTGATCGATCATATAATTCCAACTTATAACTCACGGTCTTGTGACGATATTGTTCAGTTTGCGATGGAGATCGTGCTCTACTTTTCTTTTGAATGGATTTCTTGCGTCATACACAAGCCATGAATTAGCTTCACTATGAAAGTATACAAATCAAAACAAAAGATAGGAAACCTTTTCTAGGGGATAGAGAGGTCGAGTTTGACTCGCGATGTCTCTTGGATACTCATCAACCTCACTATATAAAGATAATTCTGATGATGAGGGGGAATAATGATCTTGAAATAAGTTTTGTGAGGAATGTCGATTGGAAGATGTTGTCCAAGTTGGAGACATTTAAACTACCCTACAATCAAACTTGATTGGAGCTCTTTGGCCTGATAGCGGCCATGAACGACGGTTCACATTACTTTGAAACGTACTGTTACTACATCACTTGGCTGATATCGTAGCGAAGAAATGTAAGGATGAAATTTCGATACGAACTTGTCATATTAAACGAGAGTTGGGATAATTTAAGACTCCTGTTATTCGCATTGTCAACACAAAATCATGGCATTGCACGGGATTCACGGAAGCAGACTCATTCCCTAGATTCTTAAGTCTTTAAAGTCATTAGAAAGCATGTAGAATTGTATTATGGCAAGGTATCCACTTGTGTATTGAATCTTCATTACTACCTCAACAATTTTGATGCTGCGATATCAACGTATGCGCGAATACTGTGAGCTTCTACTCGAGAAGAATCTCCGGTGTATTCATATAAATTTACTACTTGGTTACGAGCACATCGAGTGCAGTAGTTGTCGAAGCGCTTTCTTAAACCAGTACCAAGCGTTCGCGTCCTTGACCTCATTCACACAGTTCATAGAATATGAGAAATGAGTTCAGATACTAAAGCTGAAGACGCGACCGAAAGCTTGTCTTTGCGATGGTCTTGTACGATTCTCGCATCGCAGCAATATTATTCTGCATCGGTAGCTTGCTCCCATTGAAAGAGACAAGTAGTCTCGTAAAATCGTACCATTGTATCCTCTTTCTCCCTTCGTAAGAAACTCACACTGCAGCATCAACTTTATCATGAACTTCTATAACTTACGTTCATTGAATTTGATGGCAGTTACTGCTAAAAAATGTGACGATTGTTACGCGTCAACGTCGGGAACCATCCACGAAAATCTCCATGGCTACACATTGACAGAGACAGTGAAGGTGTGCGCAACGTCGCACATTTGAGCTGTTCGACCAATTGAAAGAGTGATGACGAGGTGCTGCAACAAGTTGAGTCGTTCTGGACAAATGCAAGTCCGTCAGCTTCCTTCAGTTGCAAATATGACATTTCCCAATCGGATGAACTATCGACTACGTTCTCGAGAGAAATCCGAGCAAGCTGTGACATTGACAGTTTGTGATGTCTCTAGTGACACTTTTGGGACATTATCTCATATCGATTCGAAGGTCAAATGTCAAGATGACAATATAAACTATGAGACTTTAGTCTTGCACGACCATGCTTTGTTGCCGCTGATACACAACCTTATGGCCATGATCTCGCAGCCAGCAAAGCTCCTCGCTGCTTTGGTAAGCGACTGTGACAAGAAGACGTCAAAACAAATGTTTTGGGGCAAGGCAACAGTATATCAACAATCAGAATTGCAAGGAATGATCACACCTTGGCGTCGAATTATTGAGGACATTGAACTGTATGAACTTACTCCAATGGATGTGATGATGTTGAAAGCAACAGTGTATTACTGGCATTTGTGGCAATACGTTTGTATCTCATGTGTTGATGCCGTGGCATCAATAGAGGAAAGCGCTACGAGTCCACAACCTAAGCAAGAGTCGAGAACATGGACATCTCAATTACAAAAACGCAGTGCTGCATCCATTTCTCCGCCACTTGAGAACAAATGTTCGACTGAACTATCGCAGAAAACTATTCTGTCAAGTGATTGCAACACAAACAAACGTTCGCGTATTAATCGAAAGAGCAATGAATTTCTCATTGCTTGGTTTCTAACGCACAAGGATAACCCGTACCCATCATCAGATGAACGTATGGAGATCGCTGAGAAAACAGGTTTGGCTGAACAGCAAGTGCGTAATTGGTTTGCAAACATGCGTAAGCGCCATTGGAAACCAAATCGAGCTAATACGAAGAAACCACGCTGTCTTGTGGATTATATGTTACGAAACTGATGCCTGATTGAAATCATATTGTAGTTCATGAGTGAATATGTACGCGTTGAAAGTAACCTCCCAATATCACACTAATTCAACTAGTTTATCCTCGTCATATAATCCTTTCATTTCATTCTCATCATCAAAGTACCTCATGAAGAAGCAAGTACATAACTTCTATTCCTCTTCCAAAACCGGAGGTTCTCCGATCTCGCTCTTTACGTATTTGTACTTGCCAGAAGAACGGAATACATCCTTATTATTACCAGAAGTCAAAGTCATAGATACTGGTGTGGGCTTCAGACCCAACGTTTGCTCTTTAAAAGCAGGCGTTAGTGCAGGCCAAGCCATCCAGCCAGCCAAAATGGATCCAGGAACGGCCCATGGTGCTAGTAAACGCACAAAAAGTCACGTCAGGAATACACACGTACAAGTCAAATGACTGGAATTACCTAAGCTCGTTAAGTCTTTAGTGAGACGAGTTAAACGAGCGACAGACATGATAAAGTCTCGTGAGGGGGGAAGTTGTGTCTTAAAGTATTTCGATTACGTGAGTGGCTGAAACTTAAGCCAATTGGTATAAAGTAAGCAGCATATCAATCTCAACTATCAAAGAGATCATTTAGGTTGGACAGTCGCCGAATCATGTCTTTTCAAGACAATAAACGTTTGATATCATGGTTACGCTATGCTTTATACGCTGCACTGTCTTGACGCTGCTGTTTTGTGCTCTTTGTTATCATTCTATTGTCTATGCTGAGATCACAAGTGCAAGCGTGACGCCGACGTCGTTAAATGCTGGTGTTGTCACTAACGTTACTGTCGCATTTACAAGTGAAGTTGCTATTGAGGTTGATGGATCGGTGGTGCTTGAATTTTCCTCTGAATTTCAAGTAGCTAGTGAACCATCGGTAGCTATCACAACACCAGGCAGTACCACGACGCTGTCAGTTCTATCAGTCTCCACGACACAATTGTCAGTGTTGGTTAAAACGACGAAAATTGTAGCCGGAATAGCCTTTGAATTTGTAATTTACAATGTGACTAATCCAGCGGCACAGACAACGCATGAATTTGTTCTATCGATTTATGATCCAAGTAAGATATTGCTAGAAAGAAATGCTGCTGTTTCTGGCGTTACTATAGCAAGCACGTTGCTGTCTAATGTGGAGGTGGCTCCTGATGATTTAAATGCTGGTGTGACGGGAACTACAAGTGTAATGTTTGCTAGTGATGTGGAATTACCAATAGATTCTCAAATAGTTGTGACGTTTCCACGTGCCTTTACAGTGGCATCCACATTCCTATCATCAGTCATAAATATTGATAGCGATAGCACAGTGACTTCATCTAACTTCGAAGTGACCATCACGGTCAAAGGCAGTGTGGTGACGGCAGGAAGCAACATTTCATTTAAGCTCGACAATATCACGAATCCGGGCGCAAAGACGACAGGCACGTTCGCAGTGGCTACAAAAGACAACTTCTCAAGGGTTTTTCAGTCATTGACAGCAATCAATCCAGTGATGATTGTAAGCACTACGCTTCTGAATGTATCAGTTGAAGTAGAGAATTCCATTGCTGGTGTCTCGTCAGAATATACTTTTGAGTTCACAATGAATGTTGATATTCCGATTGGAGGGTCTGTGGATTTGCTTATACCAATCGATTATTCGCTCTCTGATAGTCTTACTGTAATAGACTTGCTTACGTACAACAATTGGACTCAAGTAATAAATGGACAATTGATAACCATGAATACATTGGCTTCGTATCCTGCAGGTCAGCATCGATTTCAAATTCGTAATCTCGAAAACCCAGGTATGTGGTTCAGCGTTGCATATTCTTTCACGATATCTGACAATGTGAGTCGCTTCAACCAGGAACAAGTATCACGGGATCCTTTGATATCTCTACTATGGATGCAAATGGATATCTTCTCGAGAGCGCGAATTGTCCCGGTATCACGATTAAATCGGGTATGATCACGGATGCAGTATTGACACCGCACTTAGCGCACCCTGGAATAGTTTCTTCAGTTGATATTTCGTTTACTTCTTCTGCTGGACTATCAAAAAGCAGTCTTTTGATTCTACGACTTCCACTTGGAGACTACGATGCAGCAGTGCCAATTCTAGATATTATGGTCAAAGCTCCAGTGAATATCACTGCTGCTGCCGCATGGAATAGTACATATGCCGCGATGTTAATCATTCTCACTAGCTTAACAACCATTGTGCATGGTACTCGTGTCGATTTACAAGTGACAGCATTAGAAATGCCGCAATCGATACGATCTATGTCAACAGCCGCTTCGATTGAGAGCTGGAACGCCAAAGGTCTCATACTGGACACTCCAAGTGTACTGACACTCCCTGCAATAACTGCAGTTCAGAATCTTTCTTGCACGTGGTACACGAACATTCCAAATCCTGGAATAACTTCTAACGTTGTCGTCACTTTTCCGACCAACGGTAAGATTCCTGAGGGTGGTAAAATTATTCTCCAACTTCCAAAATTCGACTTTTACGCGAACACAACAGGCAATGCTCCTGCCGTTCTGTTCACATCTCCAAGCACGGTTGCTGCAACATCATCATGGGATTCTGTAAATGCTGCTCTTGAGGTGATCGTAAACGATTCAATCCCAGCCTCTCAAGTGAATGTACAAATGATCATCAAGGCACTAGATACTCCTGCCTCAATACGAGTAGCTCCCATAATCCCAGCCATGCTGACAACTTTTGATCCTTTTGGAGTTGTAATAGATGGCCTTAATATGCTTCAAATGGATGCCATCACTGCAGGTTCAATCTTAGGTAGTCGTATTTGGACTGCAGTGAATGCTGTGGCTGGAGTAACTAGCAATCAGATGATTGAATTCTTCATTACGGGCAAAATTGAATGTGGTGGAACATTTGAACTTTTACTCCCTGACGCGCAGTGGAATATGGCAGCGACTAGTGTAGCAACGTTTCTCGAGCCAGATCTCGGAGATGTTGGTTCAGTATCGTGGAACATGTCTAGTCGACTGATGATCGTGACTCTGACTGGATCGGTATCGATCGATTCTTACACTAAAGTTTCATTACTTATCCATGATGTCCTCAATCCTCCTAAAGAGACGGGCATTTACAATGCATACGTTACCACTAAAGCTCCTGACAATGGTGTCATTGATGGACCGAGTACATTATCTGTCATGACCATTTCAAGAGGAATCTTAGCAGGTGCGAAAGCTTGGTCGTGTATCAATACAACAAGTGCAAGCATGCAAAGTGACCAGCGCATAAGCTTTTCACTTAGCGGAGGTTTACCAAGTGGTAGCATCATTGTACTTACGCTTCCAACTGGTGGATGGCGTATCATTAACAGCGCGACAGTGTCAGTGGCATTTTCTTTGCCGGTCACAGGCATAACTGTACAATCGGCTGCTTGGTCTTCTACAACGTGTGAATTACGAATCGTTACAGCTGGAGATATGAGTGAAGGAACATCAGTAGAGTTGATAGTAAAGAACATGATCAATCCGTATACGAGCTTAGTCGCGAATTATTGCACAGTCACCATGATGCTACCAGATTTTGGTGTTGTAGCTGAATCGAAAGACATTGTCGTGAATGCAATATCGAGTGACTTGCTGCCTTTGGAAGGCACTTTTATATCGACGATTTCTACTCCAGGGGTTTTATCTACTCAGACAGTCTCATTCACAAGTGGGGGTGAGCTTAAGTCTGGTGCAATGTTTTGCCTTACAATCACTGACGAATGGACACTGTCGGCTTCCACGACTGCCTCGCTTACATTGACTCCAAGCGCACAAAGTTCGTCACTAATACTCACGCATGATACAACGAAGAGTGCTATTTGTATGCAAACTGCAGTAGCAATTGATCAAGAGACAGCGCTTATCATTGTCTTGACGGATGTCCTATCACCGCAGTCGATTCGTCCGGAGCGACTTGCTACACTGGAGATTCAGAGCCATCTTGGTGGCATCGTTAATACAGGATTCATTCGAATAAACGCAATCACGAAGGGAGAATTAAAGGGATCACTTACATGGCAGCCACTGATACAAAATCCTGGTCCTGTTGCTGGATTAAAAACTTCTGCGACGTTAAGCTTCAATACGACCGGGCGGATCGCTGCAGGGGGGTCTATAATAGTCGAGCTTCCATTTGAATGGGTTATTTCCTCCATGTGTGAAGCGACATTCCTTCACCCACCAGTGTTTGGTAAAGCTTCGTGTAGTCAAAACAACATTAGCATCGTCATATCTGACAATCTCGCTGAAGCCTCAAATATACTCGTATTGCTCACAGGCGTTTATAATCCTTCATATGTAATGGCGGAAGGGATAGCGTCTTGTCGAACGATTGCATCTGATGGAGGAACGATAGATGAGAGTAGTAGTCTCACTACAGGTGCCATTGTAGCTGCAGTAACAGGAATTAAAAGCACGGGTGATCCATTTACAGCTGTAGTTGGACAATCTAAAACGTTTGTGTTTGAAGGATCTGCACTGGCGCAAAATGATGTCGTTAAATTTGTCGACGCAAGTTCTACAAGTGATGCGAATTGCGGTGAGTCGACAACAGGTCAGTCCGACGTTGGTGGTGTCGGTATTCAGTACTTGAGCGCAGACGGTGACATCTCTGTCAAATTTACGCAATCGTCAATAGACAAACACCCTTTTGTCATTTGCTACAAATTCGGTGACAACCCATTCAAATTGTATTCAACGCTTAGCATTGCAGTCAAGGAGATTAAGTCGGTAAGCTCTGACGTTGGATTGTCTAATATTGCGGTCGCAAACTTTGTGAAAGCGTGGACGTTCAATGGCAATGGTATTTCAATCGGAGATCAGATGCGATGGGTCGATCTTGCTATTGTACAAGATGCAGCATTCACAACAACCTTACCAGATTGTCTTGACACGTCAACACTAGCAACACTTGTCCCTTTGTCTTCTGCGCTGGAATCTGGCTACACTCGTATCATTTCGAACAGTCCGGTTATCTCATTCGCCATCTCAACGGAAAGTAGTGGTAAGACGTTTTGTCTATGCTACAAATTTGGAAGCGAGCCATTTATGATTTATCCATCGATCCAAGTGCAAGTAAAGCATCTTAACACAATCAAAACAACATCCGTAGGAAGTGATGAGTTCGTCGTAGTCCAATCGCCAAAGTCGTTCAAATTTCTTGGGAATGGTGTTGCATTGAATGACCGCTTGTACTTTGTCGAGTTAGGGAGTGTAGCATCATGTAAAGACAGTGATACGGACAGATCCTTACAGTTGTTGTATGATATTGGCGAGCAGAAACAAAGTTTAGCTTTTGTTGATGAGAACTTTGTAGCAATGATCAATTTTGATGTCGAAGCTGCTGGAATGATAGTGACACCATGCTATCAATTCGGCATCGAGCCGTATCAGCTCTATCATGACATTCGACTGACTGTAAAAATGATCCAGCAATACTTTGGAACTGTAGGATCACCTCATTTTGCTGTTGCTGACGTTCCGAAAGCACTTAGATTTATGGGTTATGGTATGAGTGGAGGTGACCTGGTACGGTGGACTTTGAATCAGAATAAAGATTGCGCGACTGAACCTGCTACTTTATCCGAACTCGTGACTTTAAAACCTATCAGCACAATTGCTTTAGATGACGACAATACAGCAACATTCAACTTTTCTAGTACTCAGGACGATTTCAATCCCGTATTGTGCTACAAATTTGGTCAAGAAAGTTTCAAATTGTATGCTAATCTTTCGATTGCAATCGGGACAATCCGTGCAAAGCTCTCTCAAACTGGAGCCAAGGAAATTGCCGTCGCATATTCGCGAAAAAACTTTACGCTTTATGGTGCTAATCTTGCTGCAGGAGACCGAGTTGGATGGACAACTACAATAGATTCAACTTCCTCCTGTAGTAATCTCAGTCTGTTAGTTCCTAATTCATTGAGTTATGACGATGACTTTCTCTCGTACGTCACTGATACCAACACAGTTGGCGTCGCGTTTACGTCGCTAAGCTCTGGAAAACGATTGTATCTTTGTTATGGATTTGGTCAAGAGCCTTTTAAACTATATGAGCTTTACTTGGATGTCAAGAGTATCACAAATATGCGTGCGATTGCTTCAAGTCAAAGTGCTGTCGTTGCAGGAGCATATAAAACGTTCCTGTTTGATGGATACGGCGTAGCAACGGGCGATTTTGCGAAATTTTCGAGTACCACAGATGATTGTACAACTCCAGGCATCACCTTACTAAACATTAAAAAGGAATTTGATGATATTAGTGAGATGGCCATATTCCTGTATGAAATTTCAGGCACTACCTCAACTGGCACATTTCAAGTAAGTGATGACACGGAATCCGTTGGACTTGGTCGAGTTTTATGTTATCGATTTGGGATCGAACCGTTTGTCTTGTATGAAAACGTTTCTATTGATGTAAAAACAATTTGGAGACTACATCAGACGAACTCAAAGAACGGAGGACAGGACAATGTTGTGGTTGTGAATGAACCAAAGCAAATGACGATTGATGGCGTTGGTATTGGTGTCAAAGATTCGTTAAAATTTGTAAGCAGGGAAGCAAAAAGTAGCGATGCTGATTGCGTCGATTATCCGGCTCAAGGTTACACTGATGGTCATCAGCTTCAAGTGGCTGAGGATTTGACAGTGACGCTATTATTTGAGTATGGTTCGAATGGAAGCATATGGACCCTTTGCTACAAGTTTGATGGCGAACCCTATCGTATGTATACAACCATTGTCTTTACCGTTAAGGAGATAACAACGTTGTTAGACTACACATTTCAGACAATTGCAGGTTTGGGAGAAGTAGCGATAATTGGACATCGTAAAGACTGGAAGCCTGTGGGCTCAGGAATCCAGGAGGGGGACACAATTAAAATTGTGCCTCAAAGCGTAACATCTAGCGCTGAGTGCGGTAGAGCCAACAGCAATGTTGCGAGTGGAACTACGCTTATGACTGTCGATTCAAAATTGACATTCTCACAAACAATTTCTGAATTTCCAAGGTCGTCAACCGATGTTTATCACTTATGCTACCAATTTCAAGACGAACCGTTTACTTTTATTCGTGATTTTACGCTCACTACATACGGCATTAGCAGTCTTGATCGTAATGTTGTGCTTCAAAATGCCGTGACAACGACTCTGATCACTGGATTTCATACCTCAGATACAGATGAATTGGGTTGGACAACAAATTCTACCACATGTAGCTCTATGCTTGGACGTACGCAAGTATTGGAGTCAAGAGCTACTCTGTATTTCACCGAAACTTACTCGCAATTGTACTTGTGCTATAGTTTCAATCACCAACCCTTTGACATATTTAGTAGCTTGACTCTTGCTGTAGTTCCAAGCGAAATTTGGATGCCTCAGAGTGTGTCGATTGTCGCTGATCAAAGTGCAACAATTGCCGTCTTTGGAACATTTGGATTTACGCAGGGTATCGATCAAGTTGCGTGGGTGCCCTCAGACGTCACTGAGTGTTCAATCGATACAGTAGCTACTTATGCAGAAGTCATGCAAAGCGCTGTCACAAGTATAACAAAATCAGAGTCTGATATACCGAACGCGGGTGAGGCTCTCTTTAATGTAAAGTACGTCGCACCTCGAAGCGGCAGCAAGATCACAGTGACGGATAGTTTTTCCACCTGGAAATTGTGTTACCGTTTTGGTTCGACTCCAGCTTACGTTATGTATGAAAAGGTCTTGTGTACGGTTTTAGATGTTACCAAGGTGCTATTAGTCTCACAAGAGATCACAACGAGTGGAGCTGTAGTGAACTTTGAATTTGATGGTGTTGGTATTCAAGACTTAGACGCAGTGAAATGGGTGGACGCTTTGACGGCTGCAAATGATGCAGACTGTAACCTTTTATCTTCGGTTGGAGGCAGTAAGGTCACTGATGTTGTCAACTCTCGCGCGACATTTGATTTCACAGAAACAAAGAATGCTATGGATTTGTGCTATCGATTTCTGGGTCATCCATTTAAGCTGTACGCAACAATTTCGATCCAGAAAATGACAAAGTCTGGAGCTAGTACTGTTCGGACCACAACCGACGAGACGAAGTATGACGAAGAGGCTATGGCGGCGTCAAGCGATGAATTCAATCTTAATCGAGATGTAGCTACCGTATCCTTGAAACTTGATAAAGATATCAATGATATCCCACCCGGTTCCAGTGCTGAAGCAGCATTCAAAACGTCATTTGTAGCGACGTTGGCGGCGTCGTTGGGGATCGATGTGTCTCGTATTCACATCACGGGATTGGTGGCAGGTTCAGTGATTGTTCAGTTTCAGCTTTTGGCTTCTGACAACTTTGCTGACTTATCCGTGAATGAGGTGGTGCAAACTCTTCAAAGTCAATTACAGGACTCGAGCAGTCCTCTACTCTCAAGTAATGTCGTCACTGTCAAGAATCCGTCAACTGCACTTCAAGTGACCGTCACGTCAGTCCTTGCACTAACGACAACATCGTCTGTGGCACTTCAGGCGCTAGCATATCAGCCAAATGGCCTCATTTCGTTTGTTAAAAGTATTTACAGTGTGACCGAAAAATCATCCAAGCTGACAATTCCTGTCATTCGTCTACAAGGTACTTCTTCAATCTTGTTAATTACTGTGAAGGTTCAGACAGTAGGGACAACAGCAATTATTGACACAGATTACGCATTTTCGGATTCAACGACGTTTAATGAGCACTTGAAGCTTATTCATCTACGCTTTGACATTGGGGACTCGTTGCAGACTATTGAAATTAATTTAGTGGATGACGATGTGAAAGAAGCTCATTTTTCAACAATCTTCTTAAGTTTACAACAGCCGCTGACGGCCGGAGTTTCTCTCGGCTCAATAAAGGAGACTGTTGTTCGAATTTATGACTACGAGGATGCGATTCCACTTGCTGTTTCAAGTTTCAGACTTAATGTCGATCAGCCAGAAGACCAGCAAACGCTTCTACAAGCATGGCAGGTGGTTGCAAATGGAGAAAATCTGCTACGAGTCGATGGAAATGGCATATTTGCAGTGGACGAAATCATTGGTGAAGCTGAGTACAATGAAAAATGCGATTTTGCTGCTCCTACTGGCATGTGTGCGTACGCATGTGAATGGGGCGATGGTCTACCTTCTTCTAGTGAGCTAGTAAATAGCTACAACGTGCTGTCGCTTGATGGTGACGATTATGTAGCAAGCATGAGTACCATTCATTCATTCCCGTCTGAGGTGCATGACTTTTGTTGGATGGCCATCTTCTTTACTTTTCATCTAACTTTTGTAACTGCAGGCATTCACTGTATCGCTCTGGGTCAAGACCAGCCAAACAGATATCAACGCATGTCTTTATTCGTACGCTGTGTCTTCTTCGACAACTCCAACTGTACCTTTAGCACTATGCAATCCATCAAATCTACAGCTTTATATCAATGCAGTAAACAACATCAGTGGAATAGTCACTTCAGTCAATATCAGTGACAATGCGTGGCACTTTCTTGCTGTTACATGGAGTTCCGAAGATGGTCGGGTGAGGATTTTTGACAATGGAATATTAGCATTTGATGGAGGATCGTACCGACGAGGCAAAACGCTCGATTCGAATGGCTACTTTATCATTGGTCAACTGGTTCTTTCCAGTGCATCAGCAACATGTACAGTAGTAGCAGAAGCTCGTGCTCAGGCCAGCAGCATAAGTGCTACATCATTTCTTACAGCTACCGAGGATGTGAACTGCAATGTTGTTGCAGAAAGTGGGTTTAAGGGTTGGATTCAGCATGTTCACATATGGTCACGAGTGTTGGCACGGTCAGAGCTTTTGGGAGAACTTGCGTGGCCTTTTCGGGTTGTCAGTAATGGTCTCATACTAAGGTGGAACTTTGACACACCTCAATTAGTATTGCAAGGTCGTGTAGTGAATGATCTCTCGATGCGTGGCCAAGCAGACAAAAATCCTGGTGTACTGAATTGTAAGACGTCAAGCTCCCTGCAATCAGCACCAAACGCTTTGAATCATACAGCAAATAACTGTCTACTTCACGGCGTATTGCCACGACTCGATACCTCGTTTCCTTGTGGTCCTGTGTATTCCAATATTTGGCACTTTACTGCTCCTGCAACTTTTGTTACTAAGCTCAAACTTGCGTACGGCGGCCGTCTTCAATATCGTCTCCTCGCTTCAAGCTTTAATGGAACGCCACGACCTCGTCGTGGTCAAGTGTCAATATTTAGCACTAATACTGCTGGTCTCCAAAATCAGATCTCAATTGCGCTCGGCTCGTTCGACCTACCATCATTAAGTAATTGGACGTACTATTCCATCGTGTTGCGTGAAGACTTTGGGTGGATTACCGAACCAGATGGAAAGACTCTTACTCTAGCCGACTTTAAGGAAAGTCTTGATGGTGCAACAGCGCTTTGGATTCGAGGTGATATCTGGGGATACGACTCGACTGGACCTGGACAAGAAGTAGTCTATCTAAACGACGTCGCACTCTACGGTCGATAGTCTGCTTAGCACTAGCAACTTTGCTGATCGCGACAATGACCCAAGCTTTAGTTTGCAAATGTAAGCATGTGATCTAAGCTGTCTTACAGTGAGACATCTTTCTGGTCTTGGAAAGATATCTTTTGGTACCTAATGTTAACAATAAATTCATCGAAAGCTTGATGAAAGGAAAATGGCATTGCCAATTGAATGTACATGGTTGTCAAGCCGATTAACTACGTGCTTGGAGTCCTCACGCAATGCAATCATAATTGCATTTTCCAGAGTCATCAGACTGGCAGAAGACTTCATTCAGTCTTAGGAGGACCATAACTGAGTCCCTCCGTAAAACACATGTGTAAGACATTAACCGGGATAAACCGTTGTCTCGGTACAGACGCACTGGCTGGTCTAAGATAGCCTTGATCTTCGAGGAATCTGCCTGCAGGTCATGTTTGCCGATAAAGAATCCCAAGAAGAGATTACAGGCGCTCAAGAAATACTTCTCGTTATTGCCAATAGCTTACTGGCAAACATATATTCGATCTCCGCTCGCAAATGTTTGATGTAGATGTCCACATCAGACTCCTCGTTCTCCGTTTTACTATGGACGAAGAATGTTTCATAGATTTAGGATTGTGATAAGCCTGATTTGGTTCATACAGCTTTGTCACTGGTCTGTAAGACAATCCGTGTGACATACTCAGCCACTTCCAGAACATCCTGCTCGGAGTACTCCTTCGTAAGAGTGATGCTTGTGTCTTTCATGCGCAGCTGAAAATAAACACCAACCGGTTCAAGGACACTGAATAGACCATCCTGTACTGAAGCACGCCCTTTCTTGGAATCTGCGTTGTACCGACGTAGACTTTCATTTATCGTTTCGTATTTTGCACGCATAACAACATCTATGACATCACAATATTTTTCAGTAAGTGGTATTGTCTTGTGACGCAGCATATGCAATCAGGAACAGGGTCAGCATCACGGCACATTCCTCGATGTGGGTCAATCGCGTGGTGAAATTCTTGTCGCCATATTCTTACAGTCATTTCACTCCATGCACTCAGTCCTTTGCGGGTTATATTGATGGGATTACTCATGATTGATAATGAGTTTTTCTCTACTAGCCGTGCCTTTTTGTTTACTTCATCGTTTTCGAAGACAACCGCTGGAATTGATTTTTCAGGCCCCATGCAAGGGTAAACTTGCAATGAGCAAAAGTGATATTGGTACCAGCTCATGAGTTTGCGATAGCTCCCATGCAGTTTATGTGTGACGGGTCACACGGCACCTTGCACAGAGGAAGCTTGACTTCCAAGAGTAT